AAAAAAAAAAAAAAAAGCACAACATAAAAACTACTATCTGTGAAACATCTCCTATCTAATACCTTGAAGTAATCTGTCTCTGATTCATCTTTATTTTCCATGGCTCGATTTTTTTTAACTCCATGAAAAACACATCCCTATATTAACAGTGGTGATCACAGTGGTAGGAATAATACTAACCATGCTAACTCACTCACACAGCATTTACAAACTGCCCACCATCCAGGTCTTTCTCAGACCATTACACACATTAACTGGCTTACTCCTCACAACCTCCCTATGTGGTGAGGAAGCCAAGACAGGCTGGCCGCCCAGGGCCACATTGCTGGCAAGGCAGAGCCAGGACCTGCCCTGTCCTCGCCCAGCACATGCACAGCCTATCCAAGTCACAAAGCGGGTTCCCATTTCTTGGCACTGGCAAGACCCCAGGTCCCGGCCTTCTGAGCTGGCGCCTGCCCAGGAGAGACTGCAGCAGGAGCAGAGCGGCTGGGTGGGGGCTGCAGAGGGAAACCAGGCATGAGTCCACCTGCTGCCCAGTGGGGCCTGGGTAAGCTCTGTGGCTCCTCGAGTGGACACCGGAGCTGGTGGGTCAAACTTACAGAAAGGGAATGACAACCCCAGAGGGCATGGCCCCCAACCTCCGGCCCCTGACAAGATGCAACAAGTTCAGCATACTTGCGTTCCATATCACCCAAACTAACCCAATGTCTTCTCTTCTAAAAATTTTAGTTCTGTAAAAATAATTTTCATTACCAAAAAATCTAAACATAGAATGGTATACAAGTATATTTTTTTGGTTAAAAAGTAAACTTCCACCACCTAGGATAAGCTATATTTTAATAAATGTCTTTCCACACACACAAAAATGTCACTGATTGATAGATAGACAGGGAGAGAGGGAGGGAGACTCCCAAGGAGCAGGGATTTCGGCTATCTTGTTCACTGCAGTTCTTGTGACTAGGAAAATGCCAGCAGGCATTAGATAAGTATTTGCTAAACAAATGAGTGAAAACAATAAAAAATAACATGTACTGAGCTCTTGGGTGGCAGGTACAACATTTTAAGCTTCTTCCCATGGACTGTCTGTGTAACACACAGAGCAATGGGAAGTGCACGATTATCCCAGTTCCACAGAAGGGGGACACAGCCCAAAGCCCCCCAGTTAGTGCGTGAGGGGCATGTGGTGACCTTCAGGACAAGGGTTTGTTGAAACTGACCTCTCAGCAGTGGTGTATTGATAATGTGCTGGGAACAGACTTCGAGCAGAGACGCACCTTCCTGAATCCTCTCCTTACCTTCCAAGAGTCTCTGTCGAGTGCCTTCAGGATGAGGGAGGCCGAGCGGTACTGCAGCGGCCCTGCCGTGTAGGAGGACTCCGGGAGCCGGGGCTCCACCAGCCCAGGGTGGTTGCAGATCCGCTGCAGCCGCAGGAGGATGCTCAGCACGTCCACAAAGTGCCCGCTCTTCAGTGCTTCCTGGGTTCTGCTCTCGGGAAGAGACACGAGCATTAACATCGGTGTGTGTATATGCCAGCTGGGAATCCTCGCCGTCTACTTTGCTAACTCCAGAAACACACAACTGGCAAGTTCTCCCCAGATCTGGGTAATAAATTAGTTACATCAAAACACCCAAGTCTGAATTCCCCTCGAGGTGGTTATGATCCTCGGACTCACTCACGGCCCCTGTGAAACAGGAGAGGAAGCCCGAGAGCCGGGAGGGAGGGCCAGATGTGGGCGCAGCTCTCCCTGCCTCCCCTTCCAGTGGAAAGATGACATTTTAAAACAGCAGCAATGATGCATTTCAGCCCAACCGTGACAAGTACCATGAAGAAGTGGCGGGCACGTGCGCAGCTCAGGAGAAGGACACCTGACCCAGGAAGGGAAGGCACTCGAAGTGTAGAGTGCAAGCCCACCAGACAGAGCGAGTCCACCAGTCCCCTTTTGGAGGGATGCCGACTCTGACACCCACCAGACAGAGGGAGGCCACAAGTCCCCTCTCACGGGGGACACTGACCCTGACGTCCATCAGACAGAGCGAGTCCACCAAGCCCTCTCGGGGGGGGATGCCAACCTTGATGCCCATCAGACAGAGCGAGTCCACCAAGCCCTCTCGGGGCGGATGCCAACCCTAACGTCCACCAGACAGAGCGAGTCCACCAAGCCCTCTCAGGGGGACACTGACCTTGACGTCCATCAGAGCGAGTCCACTAGTCCCCCCTTGGGGGCGGGAGGGGACACGCTGACCCTAACACCCATCAGACAGCGTAAGTCTACCAAGCGCTCTGGGGGGGACGCCGACCCTGACACCCATCATACAGAGCTAGTCCACCAACCCCTCTTGTGGGGGAAGCCGACCCTAGCACCCTCAGACAGAGCGAGTCCACCAATCCCTCTCGGGGGGGACACCGGGCCCTGAGCCTGCAGCTCAAAGAAGCAGGCAGATACATAAATGTAACCATTGCACAACAGGCCAAAACAGCACAGGGGCGCTGCTGCGTGGGGTGCTCTGGAAAGTTCAAGTGGAGATCTCTGGGATGAGAGGGGCTGCCCTGAAGGGCAGTGGGAAGAGAACACAGCGAACCAAACAGGTGAGGCAGGACGGAGCTGGGGAGGCCGGGTGGAGAGGCTGGGCCGGCGGGTCTGCAGAGACTCAGGAGCAGAGGCGGTAGACTGGAGAGAAGATTGGAGAGACATGAGGAGGTGACAGAGAATGGCCAGGTTTCTAACTAAGCAGCTGAAAGCCTAGACGAGAACCAGGCTTGGGGGAGCCATCCTGGAGCACGTCTGCACACGCTAAGTCTGCAGTGTTCAAGGGACAGATAAGCTGCCACAGGAGGACGTGGTCAACTTGGACACCTGCAGAAAAGAGCAGAGCTGAGCAGGGAGCACCGCAGCAGGCTGAGTGTCCTGCAAGTCACCAGTCTTGCAGTTCAGCATAGGCAGTTCTCGGTGTGATGAAACGTGCCGTAGTGGAGACAGAGCAGGGGTGGAGATAAAGGAGTGGAGACAGGCATACCGACAGCTCTACCAGTTTGGCTCTGGAGAGCAGAAGCGGAGAGGGAAAGGGGAGGGTTCAAAGATGAGCGATATCTGTGCCCCAAGAGGGCTGGTACAAATGGCACACTTCAGAAAGGCTGAAAACAGGAGAAAGACCAAGAACACTGGAAATGGAGGTTCCTGAAGGGTGGGACTCAGAGCCCACTGCAGGGACTGGTCACAGAAATCAGGAGGAGGTGGCACAAACGCAGGCAGGTCTGCAGGGCTCTCTGGCAAGGAGGGAGGAGCCAAGGTCTGCTGAGAAGTGGGTGACCATGAGGTAGTAGGAAAATGTGACACAGTCACCTCACAGAGGAAGAGACAGCGCTGACCAGGAACAATGCTCAGAGCCCACTCAAAGGCCTCGAGACCATTATAGCAACGGGCAATGAGGCGTGCTTGGCAGCGCCCTAGAAAGTCAGTTATCAGGAGCTACTGTGGGGTCGGGCACAGGCATGCTCAACACCTCGCACTGACTTGAAAGGGGCGGGTAGCAAAAGGGACATGCACGTAAGAAGAGAGAGTCTCTTCCTGCCGCTCCATCAGGAGCAAATGCCACAGAACAGCCTAGGATCTACTATCACCAGTGGCTCCCAGATCCAGGAGCCTCTCCCACAGGCAGACGGACAGCGTCCCACACTCGGCAAGTGGGACTGACGTCCTCATCCTCAAGTGTAAACCACCCACGTCCCCTGACACACCACCAAAGAGCGATGGACCAGATGTCCTGAGAACACTGTGTCTTCTCAGTACTGGGCAGGTGCCCCTGACTCTACACGAGCCCCTTACATACTGGCGCGAGACCTGCCTCTACATAAGCCGCGATTCTCTCCACCGAAACTTACGCTTCATAAACTTGTTAGCATCTACTGAAAGATCCGACTGACACCCAAGCTTTAATAATATTGCAGTTTTCCTGTTCATGCATGCAGTTTCCCCAATGTTCAGGAAGGGTGTTTTGTCACTGGGAATGTTGTCAAGGGATGGAGTTTTTGACCAAAACAATCAACTGACTATAGCATCATCAATGCAGTTTGTCAAGGACTAAGAAATCATACAAGTGACTCTTAATGCATACTTACATTCTCTCCTAAAATCTTCGAAAAATAACCTACAAAGTAAGCACGAAATAACAGCCAAACCATTTCTTGAAGACTTAATATGTGCAGACACTATTCTGACAATTTTATATACAAAATGACATAATCATCACAACCCCACAATAACTACCCTCATTTCATATGAGGAGACGAAGAATAAAGAGTTTGTGCACAGCAACCCAGCCAGCCAGTGAAGGGGCTGGCCTTTACATTCATTTCCCTCCAGAACCCTGGTCCCTCCCAAACTGTCTGTGTCCAGGCCTCACACCACCACCCTCCAGAACCTCGGTCCCTCCCACTGTCTTGTGCCCCACGATGACTTGTATCTGCCGCCTCAGGCCAACTCACTAGGTCACCACAATCCTTCCCACAAGTAGCGGGAACACGTGAGCCAAGGTGAGCCAGGTGAGCAGTCTGTCCGTCACCTGACACAGAAATCTGGGAGCCTGCTCTGGAACGCTGAGACTCCTTTTAGGCCACTGAAGTTAAGTTTGTGGTGAAACTGGTGAGCGCTACATGTGATTTTTCTTGACTGCCCATGAGGAGACAGAGTGCGTATAATTACTGAGTAGAAATATATTTAAAACTTCAAAACTTTAATTCCATACGTTTAATATTTTTTTAATCTAAACTCAGAAAAATGGAGAGCATGATGGAAAGAGCCAAACAGGTCATGTGTGAGGATCAAAGGAACCCCACACTTTTAGGATACACATGTAGGTGCAGGTACCAAGCAGCAGCGTGTCCCTGGACAGACAGAAATTGTAGTGTCGGCAGCCGCCTGGTGTGGCACATTCACTCTAGGACATTGTGCCCCTACGTACATAGCATATGGCCTTCCTGCCAGCCCCAGCTTGCCTGAAGTCCTAGGTCCGATGTGTCGTTGTGAAAAGACAAGCTGGTCAATCAGAACGTGTCTCCTGTATCAATCTAAACTAAAACACTGCGAAACTAGTCCAGTGAATGAAGTGAGGGGGAATGGGACATCATGCTCCCCCTGGGCTAGCCATGCAGGAACAGAACCTCTGAGAAGACAAGCGGAGAGGGTCCAGAGAAACGACAGGTCCAAGGATGAGATGGCCCAGAACAAGCTTGAGAGAAGCAGAAACCTCCACAAGACCATGGAGCCCACAAGCCCGGCAAGAGTGCAGCACCCAGCTCCAGACATCTGTCCCCAGAAGGTACCTCTGCCCCTTAAGCCAGGGAGGGTGAGCAAAGGACATGCGAGATCCTGCCCTTACCCAGGCTGCAGAATGACGTCCTCATACAAGGCTTTCTGTCGATTAGAAAGGCGGCACTTCAAAACGTGCTCGTATTTCTTTGTCAGTTGCTTTTCTACATCTCTTTTAGTTCTCCTCAAAATAAATGGCTGTGTCACCTGAAAAAAAAGAAAATGATGCATTGTTTCCTTTCCAAAAATGGTGTCATTACACATTTACAGCCAGTCATATGTACTTCTTAACGACTTAACTGAAATCATAAGCCACACATACCCGATGTAATCGTATGACCACTTTATGGTAGTAGTCCTGGTTTTCCTCATTCGGGGCTTTCAGAGGGAAGTGCAGGTAGGGTCTGGAAATGCCTGGAATGAGGAAGTGCACCATGGTCCACAGCTCCAGGAAGGTGTTGTGCAGAGGTGCATCGATCAGAAGCAGACGCTGCTGACTGTACACAAAATGAGAGACAATATCTGAAATTCCAAATACATAAAGCTAGGTGCAGAATCGCTTTCTCGGAAGATGTTTAAGAAAAGGGACAACAGGGTCGGCCCCGTGGCTTAGCGGTTAAGTGCGCACGCTCTGCTACTGGCGGCCCGGGTTCGGATCCCGGGCGCGCACTGACGCACCGCTTGACCGGCCATGCTGAGGCCGCATCCCAGATACAGCAACTAGAAGGATGTGCAACTACGACATACAACTATCTACTGGGGCTTTGGGGAAGGAAAAAAAAAAAAAGGGAGGAGGATTGGCAATAGATGTTAGCTCAGAGCCGGTCTTGCTCAGCAAAAAGAGGAGGATTAGCATGGATGTTAGCTCAGGGCTGATCTTCCTCACACACACACACACAAAAAAA